CAGAGCCTTTGTACTGCTCACAGAGGCAACTGCACCAGGAGATTTTTGAACAGGACTTTGGAGGACGCTGCCGCCTCCTTGGAAACCTGCCTGCTCCTTCCCACATTCCTGGATGATACTGTAGTGGCTCTCAGGAAAGGCGTACATATTTTGATAACTTTTGAGCACATTTTCATGGTTCCCAGCTGGTCAGAGGCAGAAATCTGACCCTGGGGAGAGCTGTCTCCTGGATAAAAGTCTATACCAAGGCCAGCAATCAGTCAGCATGCATTTGCCCCAGCCTCTTCTTGGTTGAGTCTGAAAAATTCCCGTGGAGGTTTCAGAGAATTTGTAAATCTAGTTGTAACCTAGACGGGAATAGATGTGTGCGTGCATGAGTGTGTGTGAGCATGTGTGTTTTGGGGCTGGGGAGAGATGGTGGGGTAGGGAGGGGTGGGACGAGACTGAGTTTCCTTGGGGCAGCCAGTGCATGTAGTCAGCATGCATTTGCCCCAGCCTCTTCTTGGTTGAGTCTGAAAAATTCCCGTGGAGGTTTCAGAGAATTTGCAAATCTAGTTGTAACCTAGACGGGAATAGATGTGTGCGTGCATGAGTGTGTGTGAGCATGTGTGTTTTGGGGCTGGGTAGAGATGGTGGGGTAGGGAGGGGTGGGACGAGACTGAGTTTCCTTGGGGCAGCCAGTGCATGAACCTATGTGGACTTGGAGAGGAACTGAGGGTCAGAAATCTGTCTAGAGGACCCCTGAGGTTGCTCGGCCACCCTCCAGGCCTGTTCTGTCTGGACCTACTCCCCATTCCCCTTGCTTTCTCCACTGGGACATTTCTCCTGCAGCTGTTACGCTAGTGGCAGCCTAGATCAGAGACTAGCCTCTCTCCTTTGCTTCGGGATCTTGAATATCGAAGTCATCCCCTTCATCCTTGCTTTCTCATCACCTTAGTGTTTAGGACAGTGTCTGTTTTGACTTTCATGAACTCTTTAGCTCTTCTGTGATCAGAGTGAGATGGAAATGAAATTTCCTAGTACAGAGGAAAGCGTTGGATCTCTAGGAGTTACCCTGCATGGGTTGGAGCCCCAGAGCTGTGTGACCTTGGGCAAGTTATTGTACTTCTCCGAGCCTTAGTTGCTTTCCATCAGGAAAATGGGCTGGGGATGCAAAAGGTCTCTGGTTCTTGTGAGGACAGCAGATAATGTACAGGAAGTGTCTGGTACATTCTGATGCTTGCTAAGTGAGAGCTGGTATTGTGATAGGCTAGGGAGAGGAGTCTTGTTATTTTAATTCAGCAAATATTTAAGGAGCCAGGAACTGCACTGAGTGCTGAGGTTGCAGCAGGGAGTGAGCCTGTCCCTGCCCTCAAGGGGCATATGGTCTAAAGGACTGGGCAGGGGACCCCTAGCTATAAGCTTTTGGGAGAAGGCCAGGCTAGCAGTGTGATGGGGCTGTGGGAACACTGGGGTGAGAAACCCTTTTCCGGGGTAAAGGTGCTTCTCAGAGGATGGGCTATTTTATCAGAGTTAGGTTGGATTTTGCCAAGCAGAGAAGGCAGGCAATCCAGGCAGCCCTCTGCTCACAGCATGAGCAAAAAGTCTGCAGGTGTTGCCTGTCCTGCTATGGGCAAATGGACCAGCTTGCCCCTGGGGCTGAAGCATGCTGTGTCCAGTGGATGTGACAGGGCTCCAGAGAGGTTGGGAAGGGTCAGGAAGCCCTTTCTCTATCTGGACTTCCTTTGGGGACTTCTGGGTCAGCATCCAGGGTAAGTTATCCTGGAGGAGTGGGGAGAGGTCTGATCTTTGCTACGCATGCAAAGCCTCTTCGACTGGGAAAGGATGGAGAAAGCAGAGGAAGGATGGAGAAAGCCTGCCTTTTCCCCAGGCAGCCGTGACAGAGCCATCTGAAGAGGAAAAGAACATCCTGGGAGAGGCCTTGGTGAGAGCCCAGGCAGATTCAAAATAACTGTGGCAAATGCTCTCTTTAATCAATATGGTGTTGTGCGGTATCAGAGCCTGAAGCAGCGGCTGCTTCTGAGGCTGTGAAATTTTTATAGACTGCAGCTGTGCATCGGCCTTTTGTCCTTTGAACAGTTTCTGCAGCAGCCCATGAGGCCTGGCAACTTTATGATCATATCTTCCACAACTCTGGGTCCAGCTCTGTTCCTCCAAGTGGGAAGAAATTGTCATTGCTTTGCTGTGGGGACGTCTGGGAAGAGGTTGCGTAGGCCCCAGAGCTGCTGAGGAAGTTGGTTCAGCCAGAGGGGCTGTGGGGCTGGTGGCTGGGCCAGGAAGGGATGCTAAATAATTCACTGTAATGGAACAATTAAAATCCAGAGCGAGGGTTGTGAGGGTTGCGGGGGTGGTGGAGGAGGCCAGGAAGCTTCGTCTCTGTAGGGCCCGGGCTCAGAGGGCTCAGCCATACCACAATTAACTTTTTTTTTTCTTTCACAAGGACCTTGACTTTCAGTTGGAATTTTTTTTTTAATTAAAAAAATCTTTTGGACCTTTGTGTCCAGGAGAGCATGACAAGAGCATGTGGTATGGAGGTACACCTCTTCTCCCCTCCACCCTGGGCACTTGTTTTCTAGGTTTGCCACAGATTCCCCTTGTGGGTGGGTGGGGAGTGGGGGAATCTGCTGGGCCTCTGGCAGACCGTCCAAGGAAGCGGGTGGGGGAGGGACCCCTGGGCAGGCCTGCTGGCTGCTGTTTTTCCACAGGCCCAGCACTTTCTGCTGCTTGTCAGGTCACAGGGACCTGCTCTCTTGCAGTCCTCTTATGTCCCCTTGCCTTGTGGCCAGTTTGTCCACCTTGCTCTAGCTCGGTGCATGCTGCAGAGGCCTGGGAGACTCATGCCTTCTCTGGGCTCTGAGTCTGGAGGTCCTGTTCAACTGGGCTGGGTGATCACACCCAACGAAGACTGCCAGGGTGCCCCAAGGCTGATGGTCTGGGGAGCCTTATTTGGAATTCCAAATAACAATTGGATGGCGGCCGTGGTAAGTGAGGTCAGGGGCCAGTGAAGCTACATCTGCCATCAGGGCCTGGCCAGCTTGGGCACCTGCACAGAGACTTGCACTGTGCAGAGGAGTCTCCTTCGGGAGTGGCAAGCCTCTCCTGCTCTCTTAGGCTTTGGTACAGTAGGCGGTACACTGGGCTTATTGCTGGGCTCTGAATGTCTGATGTTAGGGCCCTAGTGCTGTCCCTTCAACTGCTCTGGAACTCAGTTTCCCCATCTGCAAAAGGGAAAAATGATAGTTTTGTAGGTGGGTGGTGAGGAGTAAGTAAGGGAATGCATGTAGAGAGCCTACATGTGCCACGCTGAGCATGTGGCTGGTGTGCTGGCTTCCTTCAGCCTCTGAGGATGACGACACCTGCTACCTCATAGGGCCTTTGCAAGGATTCACTCAAGCTGTGTTTGTGACTCGAACATTAGACGATATTATTGCTATTATTTGAGGAGCCCAAGCTAAAGGTGTGAGGGTTCGGATGGAACAGCAGAGAGCTTGGGGGGTAAGGATCTGAGCGTTGGCCACGCTACAGGTTGCTCTCCTGGAGTGTGTCTGCTCAAGGCCCTCGTTCACT